GCCCACCCCATCACATCCCCAGAGGGCTTGGCCAAAGCCACGGCACGGGAGGTGGAGGAGCGAGGAGGGGGTTGAAGGATCGACATCTACCACCGCCTGCCCTGGCAACCCGTGCGTATGCCAGCAAGTTGGAGTCAGAATGCCGTCTTCGCACCCGTCCAGGCGAGGCCCGCCTCCCTGGGCGACGCCTCAGTCAAAGTCGGCCTCCCCCTGGTCCTGTCTACCCGCCCCCCCACCCCCATCAAGCACATGCTCCTGCTACGGCAGTGGGAGGAGGGAGGAGGAGGAGGAGGAGGAGGAGGAGGAGGAGGAGGACAAGAGACCCCCAACGGCTAAAGAAGCCCAGGCGGTCCTCAGAAGTGCACACGTGCCACACAGCACACACGAATACTCGAAGCGGACCCTGCAGCGTCGCTGTTTAGGATGGCTACAGGCGCCTCATCTCCTGAATCGACGCCTGGATCTCGGGCTTCCCCGAGAGTTTCTGGCGGCATTCAGCCCAGAGAGAGGCGATGCCGCTCTGGCAACTAAGGATCCTCCCCCCTTGCTCCATCACATTCCCACATCCTTCTAGCACCGCTGCTAGCTGTGCGAGGGGAGAGGAGGTGGATGGGGCTGGTGGAGAAATAATGCATCTGCCGCACGAATCCAGCCTCTATGCGCGATGCAGCAAGTCCGCTTCCCTGAGCGGGCCTCGTCATCTACCCCCTCCTCCATATACTCTCCCCCCCCCCCACTCGACTGATCACCAACTATGCATGCAACTATACAGGCGTCGAGGGTGGGGACAAGCGGGGGGAAGGGATGGAACGGGGGCCTAGCCGAAGCCTTGCTCAGACTGCGAGTGGCTCTGCCGCTGCCAGGCCCATCCGGCATGGGAAGGGCCGAGTGCAGTGCCTGCTGCCAGCGCAACCTGGGCCGTCCCTCGGGCGCCCCGGGCCGTGCGGACGTGAAGGCCTCCCTCGCCCTCCCTGCCCCTCCGTGCCCCATCCACCCACACCCTCCAGCACCTGCAGCGTCGAGCGGCCGCCGCCGCAGCATCGGATGGGGCAGAGCGGGAGAGGGCGCCCAACGGGGACGAAGGGGGGTGGGAGGGCGGAGGCCTGGTCAAGTTAGACGTGCGTCGGACTGCCCACGACTGCCGCCGTAACGGCGGCTGTCTTCACAACCGCAAGTTTGACGATAACTGGCACAGGCCAGTCCCTACTGCCTCCCCTCACCCTCATATCCTTCTCCCCCCTGACCCCCAAAGTTGTCGTCTAAAGCTGGACATACAGCATCGCAGATGCAGGGTGGACAGAATGGGGGGAGAGGTTGATGAGCAAAGAGGCTCGTGCTGGAAGTTGCAGACAGGCTCCATCCCTGCATCTTGTGCACATGGGCGGGGTGTGCGATTTTCTCTGGTTGTGTACCCACCTCAACACATCTACGCCTTCCCCACATACCGGGCACAGAACACGCTTTCTGGATGCAGTCGGCGTAGCCACAGACTGGGGCTTCTGACTGCGCAACTTGTGCACGACGGCCATCTGCTCCATAGCCTCCTCGGAAACGTCGGCGGATGCTCACCGTCTGCTCCAAGCGGATCCCATGCCAGGCTTGGGATTCGTTTCGGGGACGTGGGGTCTCTGGTTGTCTGTCAATTCCTTCTCCTGGGCCTGCACGGGCGCCAGCTCGCCTTCGTAGTGGTCGATGCGGTCGCACAAGCCATCTGTGTTCGCCTCCTCCCAGCCCATCTTGGCACCCGTGCCCTGGTTGGTGCTCCTGCGCAAACATCCTGAGGCTTGTGCCCATGTGACTTATGCCACGGGTATGGCCATTCGTGGTGTCCACCGCCGTGATCTCCAACACTTCCAAGCGTTCGCCGATTTCGCTCTCAAGCTGGTATATGCGATCGGGCAGCTCCTTGATCTTCGCACCCATGTGGAACTCCACTTCGCCACATGACGACTCGCTTCCGTGCAACGGAGTGGGCACACTTCCTTCGCTGAGAGTGCTGCCGAAGTTCTTGGAAGGTGGCGCGCCATGCGGCCTGCAACTTGCACCCTGAACGAGCACTGATTAACATGACGACTTACCTGGTAGGTGATGCCTACCCTCTCGAGTTTCTTGGCCAACTCATTGGCGATGATACCTCGCCCCCGAGGTTGACGTGCAACTTGGGCGAGACCCTCCGCAGGGGCTACCAGAAGCGGAGTGAACTTGCGCATGACGGTGCCATGAAGGTCAGATACGACAAGATCTGCACTCATGTCTCACATAGCACTGCACGCGCACACCTACACAAGTGTTCGTCGAAATTTCTGGCTCAACAGCCTGGCCGCGCACAAGAATGTGGGCGAAGCCAACGGCCTTGAGTCAAAAATGGCTACGGATTGCCTGTCCGTCTCCTCCTCCTCCTCATCCTACTCCTCCTCCTCCTCCTCCCCCTCCTCCTCCTCCCCCTCCTCCTCCTCCTCCTCCCCCTCCTCCTCCTCCTGCAACTGACTCTCCGCATGTGAACCCTAATTACCCCTGGATGTCAGAGTTCTGAAGCCCCAGCTGGGATTCAGAACTCGACGGGTGTCGGCTTCCAAGCGAACCCCAGCGGGGGGGTCCGATACCTAAGCGTCGAGTGGACCCGCAGGGGTAGGGTCCGCAAGCGGTCACAGGCTCGCGTCCCGCCACGGCGGCCTGACTTACAGGAGCAAAGAACTGCACAAACATAAACTCTCGGAGGTCCGCGCGGCTGTCTTGGATCTGCGCTGAGCCCCCCTCCTTGGCGCGCGGAGCGCGCAAGGGGCAACACCAGAGGTGCCGCCAAAGGAGGCCCAAGCGCAAATCCAAGAAATCCGCACGGAGCTCCGAAAGTTTATGTGTGTGTGCCGTTCTTGGGGGGACCAAAAGGGTACCAATAAAGCTTCTCGCTGGCCCTCTTCCAGGGTGCGATCTGACCAGCACTTCGAGGCGAAGCCAGCGATGGCGACGAGGGGCTCCTAGGAGGCCCAAAAAGGGGACAACGAAGGGACGTTGTGATTCTCGCACAACGTTGGCCCCCACAGCTGTGTTTTTGGCGGCCTGGGGCCCAGTGAGAGCTCCTGGACGCCGCAAGTGAGGAAGAACCCCCCGCCGCGACGGTTTGCTGTCGCGGAGAGAGGAGGTCAGAGGAAAGGGGAGGAGGGGGGGAAGGAGCGAAGGGGGGGGGGGAGGAGCAGGAGGAGGAGGACGAGAAGGAGGTGGAGGAGGGTACCTTTTACTCCTCCGAGCCCTCCCCTCGTCAGCGGCAGCCAGCGTCTGCTCCCTCCACCGCGCGTTGGCTCCCCCGGCGAGCAGAGGGGTCACCACCCGCCGCAAAGCAGCGCGCGCCGTGGGGGCGGGCCGCCGCGGGACGGGCCACTGGAGGCCTCTCAACTGAGCGACGAGCAAAAACGAGCCTCGGCGGCGAAGGAGGGGGGCGAAATCTCGCGCTCGAGATTCCAGGTCTTCGGACATGTTCGTCGGTTCTCGGCGGTCTTCCGCGCCTCGCCGAGGGCGTTCCGGCGGTGCCCAGACCGTCCCGAATGGCCACCGGAGAGCCGAGTTTTGACCCAAAAACCACCAGGCGTCCGAGAAGGAGAAGGCCTTCTCAAAGGCGGCGGGACTTCTCAGAAGCCCTCGCGCCTTCTGAGAAGATTGTTTGTCTTCTGTCCTCGGGAAAGGCTCAGAAAACTTCTCAGAAGGCCAGGGGACGTCCGAACCTTCTGAGAAGGCCTTCTCCTTCTCACTTCCCCCCATCGCTCGCCGCCGAGAGTCTTATTCGGTGGCAACTCCTGGGAGCCTCCCATACCATCTTGTCGGCTCTTGCGAATCGACGCTAGCCGGCGCTAATCGACGCTAAATCGACGCTAATCGACGCTAGCCGACGCTAACTCGGCACATCTCATCGACTCCCAGACGCTTGCCGACACTAATCGACGCTCAATGCGGAGTTAAGAGGGTATACCAGCCTCCCATGATTCGCTACCGAAGTCTTACGCGAGATGACATCCAGTCCAAACGTGCGTTCTGGACGGGTGGTAGGGGTCGCACGGAGACATACTAGTATGTACTATATGTCCTCCTTGGAGGCGCGCGACCGACCCGAACATGCAGCATACCCGTGTTGTCGTATATCGCTTCCCGAGCTGCGGAGCCAGAAAAGGCCCGCCACGACGCATATACTATTAGATTCCTCGGTGCGCGCGTCGCCCCTGGGGGGGGCGACTCACACATCATATTAGCATGCTGGAGCGACGCCTATGGCGAGGACGCGAGACCCGTGAAGGCCGAAGCTGGGATCTCTGCTCGGCGGCGGGCGCCCAGGGAACGCGGCAAAGGACGGGGCGCGGAGGCAGGGGCACAGGTGTACCCCGAGATGGAGGCGCGCGTCCTTACGACAAGCCTCGTCAAAAATAAACAGAAGACGTCTGAGTTCGGTGATTGTGGGGTCAGCGCTACTCCAATGCTGACGGATGCCTGTTGACTCGGACGCGGTGGTGTCCAAAAACCGGCCCCGCCCCCTTAGCATAGAAGAACGAGCTTTCAGACAAGTGCCCGAAAGCATCGTGCTCCAGGATGTCAGCTTCCATGTCTGGATATTTTTGACGAGGCTTGTAGGCGCGTTGACTGTAGCGACCTTACGCTGCGGCTTGCGCGGGCCGCCAGCGCGGCACGTCACATCGGAAGCGAAGGCGCCCACGCGCGCCCTTGCGCGGGCAGCCTGCGCGCCAGCGTCGGCGCAGACGACCCATTTTGTTGCGTCGCTCAATTGGGGTCCCAGTAGATGGGCTCAGAGGACCGTGCCGCATCGCCAATGCAGCGCCGACGTATCGGCGATGCATCGACGATGTCGGCGATGCGTCGGCCAGCGCCGTCTACGGTGGAGAGGTCTGGGTTCCACATCGAGCCGCATCGTCGACAAGCAAATTCCAACCAGCACCGCATAGGTACGACACGACAGCCCCATTGCCGTCAGGCCACACCCTCGTACGCAACTCTGACCGCTAGTACCTGCCGCGCACGTGGGTGCGTCTGCAGCGCCGCACCTGGATGCGGCGCTCCCCAGGCTGGACGTCAGGATTGCGGCGCAGCCTGTCCTCGTACCTGGTCCACACGTGGCTGTAGTCCCACAGACGGATGCGCACGAAGACCTTCGGACCGCGCAGCCTGCCCTGCGCTTCCTTGAAGCAGTACAGGCGCCGATTGTCGAGGCACTTCATCTCGCCTCCCCTCCTCACAACGTCCATGACGAGGCGCTCATCGTTCAGCGGTAGCTCGGGGTTTTCGACCACGGCGTCGATCAAGTTGGAAATGGGCTCTGGCCGGCTGTCACCCCTGGCTGTGAAGTGGTCAGAGATGCACGACTGAGTGTGCTCCAGTTCGTCGCACGCCACAACAAGCGAATCGGCACTGCTCGTCGACGTCCACCAGTCCTGCACTGCCTTGGCAGCCGAGATGCGGTCGTCTGGATTGTTCCTGGTCATAGCCTCGACCAGATCTTGAAGCTGCTTCCGCTCGGGGTGCGACAGAATCGGGCAGTCG